GGTACACACCCACATGGACACACTGACACAGATGGCACACAGGTGCACTAAAGAAGGTGTTTCAACTTCAAGCACTTTCTTTTGTCAAGTGTTTTGGAACAACTTGCATGCGCACCCGTGTGCACTAAAGGAAGATGTTTGCACTTCAAGCGCTAACCTTTGTCAAGTGTCTGGGACAACTTGCATGCGCATCCATGCATTTAAACCGTTTCGGGCTCAGTGAAATGATCTTAATGTATTGTGGCAACCACTTGCAAATGCAGTCAGATGTGAACACAACGATATGATACACCATGTTTGCCAATGACTCAATGGATAAAGCATAATCAGCAATGCTGTGGCACTTGCTCACGTTTCTTTCCAAGTTTGAGTCATGCCCAAAGTGCACAAACAAACATGAAACCCCAAACATAGTTGCACAGTTGCTGTACTTCACATTTCCACACTGCAGTTCCTGATGGCATACGTGGCATTCATGTTTCCCCTCGCATTCGCTCTCACCTTCCGCGATGGCCCCGATGGCGTACATTGCGTTCATCCCTGACCCGGTGGAGGCGCCACACCGCTTTCGTTGTTTGGGGTTGCTCTTGTCGTCAGTTCATTCGTCGTCAGCCCAGTGCAGTTCATTTGTCATCAGTCATGTCATTCGTCATTCACCTTCATCTTCAAGTTTGGCCACGTGCAGGGAGAGGATGAACGGTTCTTGGACCTGGAGATGCTTGGAGCGTTCCATCCCGAGGGCGAGAACGTTTGGCTCAACAAGGCCGACACGATGCTCTCGTGGATCCGCCGCAAAGGGTGGCGCATCCAAATGCCATCAGGCAGGACTGGAAACCTCAAATTATGTTGAAGCCGGTGCGCGGGAATTGAGTAAATGTTGTTGTAGCTTGCTTGTTGCGTGCTTGGTGCAACCTTTTGGTGTGGAGGAACGACAGTGACTCCAAAGGCCCGCCTCGAGAAAGCCGGGTCACAATCCTATAGGGGGGGTAAACCTAATCAAGAGTGGCTTCGCAAATGCAGTTCAAAACACGTCGAATTCGTTCTGCTGGGAGGATGGCAGTACTTGAACGACATGAGCGAATGGGTGGATTCCTCCTTGACCTTCGAGGTCAGCAAGGCACTTGGCACTTGAGAGTTGATGAACTTGAGAGTTGACTGAGAGTTGGTGTAAACTTTGCTGTGGTCATGCTGGTCACTGTGCATGGTGTCACTGCGGCATGCTGGTCAGGGCAGGAAGCGGTCAAGGGAGCCTATCACAGATGACGAGGTGACCGAGAAATGCAATCGCACGCTTGTTTTTGGAGGGTGAATCACTTTACTGGCTTGTTGCGCTGGTGGAAGGTGTTTGTGACCATGTAAACCTTTCTATCAGGAGGACAATGCCGGTGAAGCTTCCAGCGCAGCCCGACCTGATGGTGGGCCCGTGGAGGCTTGAACTTGACAGACAAACTGTTTGAATCCATTTGATGTTGGCATCTGATCCTGCAAATTGCCAAGCGGTTCTAAATGGCAATTGTTTTGACATGTCCTCACATGTCTCTTGAATCCAGGAGCTTGGAGGTTCAGCCAAAGCTCACAAGAAGAAGGCTTGTCTCGTGACATGAAATGGGTCAATAATGTTGAAGATAAACCGACCTTATTGTTGGAGGCTCCGAATTTGGTGCGCTACAACCAGTCTGGAAAGTTGTCAGTTTGATTAGTTGTGTGTTGGCTCTGAAATCGATCTGTGCGTTGCGCATTCCAGGCGATGCCCATGACCAGCGCACCTTCGAACAGGGCGCCTTTACCGCCTCCACCTCCAGTACCCAAGCGGACTTTACCACCTCCGCCGCCACCTCCCCCGCCACCATCGGTGCCGGGTCCGCGAACACCGCCAAAGGATCCGGCGGCGCCACACCGTCTTCCTCCACCCCCACCGCCGGCACCTCCTAAAGCTCCAGGCCAGGAGACCTTCCCACCCCAACCTCCAGCAGCTGCGGAGGTTCCAAAGGCGTGGTTGTGTTTGACGCCCGCTTGATGACCTTTGGACTCAGAAGCAGTTCCTGTCCAACGACTTTGCTACGCGTGCAGGGTTTTCTCGCGCGCAGTTTCTCGTGACTTACGTGTCAGGCATTGCAGCCCTGGTCGGCAGCGTTGGTGCGAGATCCATCCCAGCGCGGCTGGTATTTGGGGCAGCGGCTCTTCAACAACGACGGAAATTTGATGCCGTGACTTGGCTGCGTGAGGGCCCGCGCAAACTTGAGTGATCTGGAAAGTTATGAACTTAGTTGCATGACTTTGTACTTGTGCACTTGGTCGCATGATCACTGAAACACATTTCATCCAGGGGTTGGCGCTGGCCGGTCGAAGCCACGGAGCAGGGGATCTGGCTGGCAGGGACGCGCTTGGTCGGCAGTGACTTGCTTGCGTTGGATGGGAACACTGGAAGCACCTTGAGCTTGTTCATTGGCCTTGAGCTTGTTTGCTTGGGCTTGGATTCATTGGGGAGCGTGCCAAGGTGGAAAGCTTGGCAGAAGCTACATTGAAGTTGGCACAGGCACGGTTGCTGTCACGCTGCAATCATTGACAGCAAGCGCAAAACACATCGCCCAAAACTGCGCACACTTCTGAAAACAAGTCATCCAGGACAGATTTCGAGACCCAGACCAACCTGACGGCGCCGGATCGAGTGGGAGCGGTGGACTCTAGGCGGCTGCACAGGGGTGGCTGGCGACCTTACCCAGAGGAGCGAATCGTAGGAATAAACCCCAGATGGGAGATAGGGGGGTGATCATGATGATTTGATCATTTCGTGGGAATCGCCCCTCCATCGTGAGAATCACCCCTGATGTTTTGTTTTGGTTATGTGTTGGCAAGTGCTTTAAACAAGATTTGTAGTGAAATAGGGTTTGTATCAGTTTGGTGCATATAGAGCTGCTTGGGCTCTTAAAGGGGAGATTTGTAGCAGATTGCGGGCGAGCAGACTTGTGCTGGCCTCAATTGCCTTTCATTTGCTTTGAGTGTAGCATGGGCGGCTCACGCACCACATGTGAAACATGTTACATGTTGGTTCTTTCTGCAGCTGTTTTGGTCCGATGGTGAACCACAAGAAGACAGTAAAAGATCCTGAGCAGCAGGACTTAAAGGCTTGGGACTGTCGTGTGTGCTTTGGCTTTGACAGTTATGATCTCTTCTCTGGAGGCAGAGAAGAAGGGAGCAAGGGCAAAGGCGCAGGCAAGGTAATTTGCAGGCTTTGCCTGTGTGCTGGGCATGCTGGACGCGAGGCCAGTAGCAGCAAGTCGAACCCTGAAATACTTCGTTGGAGCACCACCTACATAAAGACGCTGTGCGTCCCTGATGGTGACAAGAAGAAGGCCCTTTTTCGATTGGGCCTGCCAATTTTGTTTGTAAGTTTGCCTCCAGGTAGAATGGCTCCGAGCTGTCACGAACAGGAAGCCCAAGAGCAGACCAGCACCTCTGAAGCCTGTGACACAGGCAGCTGCCAAACCAGCCCCAGCTCCAAAAGCAGCTGCTCAAGCTCCTTGGCCTTCTGGGCCGATTGAGATTGAGGATGAGGAAGAGCAAGATCCAGCCTTGCCTTGGGTTTGGAGGCTGGCTTGAGAGAGCATGAACATGCACTGCGGCAGTGTCACTTGCTTGCAGGTTCACGACTGGATACTTTGCTGTGAACCCACCACCGCCGCCGATCAGAAGGTGATGGAGAAGGCCAAGGGAGACAGGCTGCGTGCTAAGTGTGTGACCTTGCTCGCAGCTAGCGCCAGGTGGGCTGATGTCCACCCATCCTGGGTGCATGGCTTAGATACGCTTGCGTTGTCTTCTATATAGAGCGCACTGCAGCTTCAGCTAAGGTTGTGGGCGCAAGTGACTGGCAGAGCGCCGCTGTAAAAAAAGACACGCGCATGATCGTGTTAGTTCACGGGGCCAAAGCATGCATGCGTGCGCATGTCATGTTCATGGGGGATCATGTTGGTTCATGGGTTTTCACGCTGATTCACGGGTTTTCATGCCGGTTCACGTTTTTCTGGCCGAGGTGTTCATTATGGCCGTCTGTGTTGAGCTTGGTGTTGCTTTGCGATTTGCAACGCTTGTCTTGTCTTGCTTCAGGTGGGCGCGAAGCTTAGATGGTCCGGGCCTCAGTACATGCACGCATGCCAACATGTACATGTAGAGTATAAACCTGTAGACATGGGAACATGGAACCATGCATGTAAACATGTTACATGTAAACACTCTATAGCTAACATGTTTCATGTAAACATGTCACACGGAACCATGTGACATGTAAACATGTTACATGTAAAGAACATGTTCATGGCTTCCATGGAAACATGAATGCGTGTACGTAAAACCATCATTAGTAAACTTTACTCGTCAACTTGTTCATGGCAGTAGGTGAACCCATGACATGCTGTCTGGAGCTCAGCAAAGGTCCACCTTATTCATGGAGCTTGTGTGTGTGATCCCATGGCAGGTGAAGTTCTACAAGCATTGCTGGTGGGACTCTGTGAGCGCTCCTTCAACCAGTGACCTGTGTGCTGCGCAGCTTTTTTTGAAGGGTATGTATTACCTCTATTTGTCAACTCTTGTTTCTTTAGCTGTTTGGGCTTGTGAGAGCTTGCCATCATGCCGAAGCTGCTGAAGTCTTTGAGCGAAGACCCTGACCTAGCAGATAAATATGCTGCAGCTTTTGCGCAAGAAGCCCGGCTGTCAGAGGCGTGTATATATACATACATTTGGACTGTGCAGGGAGTGCAAGATTACGCTATTTCATGGTTTTTCACGCTGTTTCACGGCTTTTCACGCTGATTCATGTGTTCACGGTGTAGGTGGGGTTTACCTTTGTCACTGCACACTCGGCGGAGCTGTTTGGCAAGAACCCTTGCACACTGAAGGATTGTGAAAAGAACACAGAAGTTCCTTGATTGCGCAAAGTGTGTGTTTTTCAATCTGGTTTCTACCCTTGCTTTGAGTAATTATGTGGGCAGGTCATTTTTGCGATCATGAAGGTGACGCCATGGCGAAAGCTATCGGAGGAGTTGTTGAGCCAGGGCATCAAGAGCTTCTACCGACAGAAGAACCTGGTTCCAGTAGGCGTCACTGAAGAAGCTCTTGCCCCCTGGGCAGCAAAAATGGCTATGGCGTCTAGGAAGCTTGTCCAGCGCTTCAGGCGTATTTACTGCGAGACACCTGAGAATGCCAAGAGCAATAGCTTGAAGGAGTTGAAGCGCAGACTTCAACGCGCAGAGATCATACCACCTCCGAGGGCCAAAAGAGGTCAGACAGATGAGGCCGACATGGAGCCTGTGGAGCCTCAGAAGGCTGCGAGTCCTGATACCATGGAGCAGCTTGTTTCGCCGCCGCCTAAGCACGTGGACTTTGACTGGGCTAAGCTCAGCGGTCTGGTGCAGAAGCGCTTGGTTTCAAATGCAGCTGCAAAGGAGAAAGACAACGCAGTGGTGTCAGAGAAACCTGTTGCTACGCCTGCCCGCTCAAGCAGGCCACTGCCAGGTTTTGTACTTAAAGCTTTGGAGAAACAAGTGGTCTCGGTGACTCCTTTTGCCACTACGGCAGGAGATGAGGACGTGAAAAATGAGGATGTGAAGCCTGATGGCGGCAAGTCGTCCAAGCAAAAAAAGGCCAAGGCCAAGGCAAAGCCTAAAAAGATTTCAAAGAAGGCCAAGAAGGTGATAGCTGATGAGGAAATGGAAAGAGAGTTGTGTTTGGTGGACGCTTCCTGTGAACCCCAGCACTCCCAAAAGCAGCCTTTGCCCGGCGAGGCTCCCCTGCTAGAGGAAAAGTGTGACAAGGTGGCCGAGCCTGTGTATGTGGCAAAAAAGTTTGCTGAGATCAGACAGCAGTTCTTGGCAGACTGCAAAAAGAAGGGGCATAAGTACCATGAAGCAAACAAGATGTGGATGTTGAGCGAAGATCGCTCCAACCTCCTTTCCGGCCTCTCCCCGAGTGAACTTAAGAGGAGGCGGTTCTGCTGAGCCCTGCGCCTCTCTGTAATTGGAACGCCTGTGGTGCCTGACCACGAGCTGAGTGGGAAAAGTGCTCATGTAAGGAATCGCCTTTCCTTTGACTGCATAGTAGTGTCATGCATGCGTGGGACATGAGTGCTTGTAGCTGCAACATTGCATGTGCTTGACAGAGCATTTTTGTTCAAGGCTTTGTTTTGTAAGTAAGATGGTTGTTGCTGAGATGCTGAGCTGGAGGTGCCCGGAGATTTTAATTCTCCTGGTCCTTCATGTGACATTTCTCCAAGATTTGTCCTCTGATAGAGTCTTTGCCTTGGATCTTTGCTTGTGCCTCTGACGCTGTCATGTTCATCTGTGTTGAGCTTCAGGCATATGACTGGGTTGAGTTCTTTAGTGGACAAGGACATGTCAGCGCTCAATTCAAAAACGTTTGGGGCTTGGACGCTTTGTGTCAGTCGTTGTCTTCATTTGCACTTGAGTGTGACTGCTGAGGCGGGCTTCTGTGGAGTGGCTTTGGACATTGACTTGGACAAGAGCATGGACTTCCTCAAGCCTGCAGGGCTGCTGCTGGGACCTTGGTGTGCATAGGTGTACTTGTGAAGACTTAGACCTGCTATGTTGAGGCTCTGCTTGAACTGCATTCGAAGAAGCAGGGTGGGCGCTCTGCACCTGTTGGGGTTGGAATGCCGTTCATTCTGTGCTCCGCTACTTGGTACCACGTGTTCAAAGGTTTAGTATGTATGATGGTTCTTCTTCAGGTGAACTGTGCTTGGGATTGTTTGCGCTCAGGGCAAGAGGAAGCCACGCACGCTCCATTGTCTTTCCACGTGGCAATGAAGGCTTTACCTTTGTCCATCTTGGCAACCGCTTAGCGGCGGTGGTTGCCCTTCTTACCTACTACTCTCTGAGCCAGGGTTGCAGGGTATTGATTGAGCAGCCTCAGGGATCTTTAGCTTGTGAACACCCTCGGCTGGAGGTGCTCTTGAGGGAGCTTGGATTGTACCAGGCATCGATCTGGGGCGGAGCTTATTGTCAAGACGCAACACGCTCCACTCCGAAGCAGCACGTCTTGTATTCGCAAGACTATCATTTGCTTTCTCGCCTTCAAGCTGCAGCCGGATATTTGAGCGCTGAAAGATTGGCGGAGTTGCGTGGGCCATCTTTGGTAAAAAACAGAAGCGTGCAGATGGCACCTATTCATGGAGTGGAAACAAAGCTGAGATGAAAGAGTCTCAGAATCTTTGGCACGATTAAACACGTCCATGGTTGTGACATATACAATGGTTCTTAGTGCAGCCATGGTTCTCCTGCTGAGGGCCTATCACCCCCGCTTTGGCTGGCACCTGGCCCAACTCAAGAGTGAGATGGACGCTGGAGACTGGCCTGTGGGGATCTTAAGGGGCTGGTCTGTTACAATGGTTCATGAGCGTGCCTTTGTACCAGGTGCTCCCCAAAGCTCCTTTGGTTGGCGATGAGAAGATCTATGAAACATCTGACGTGGCCCTGTTAGAGGTTGGGTTTGTTTAACTCATGGTTTTGCTGCAGGTGTGTTGGTGTTGCCTCTCGAATCTTTGACAGGGGATTCTCTGGGCAGAAGTGGATCTTTGGAAGGATGTTGGAAGCTTATAAGTTTCTGTTGACGCGTAGCTGTTTGATGTGTGCTTGGCAAACTGAGGCTGGTTGCATGGATGCGATTAGGTACGTGAGGCAAAGCCGAGCTTTCCAACCGCCAGAGGCATGGAAGGATGTTTTGGACACTGTATATGCCAAGCTCGTTGTAAGAGAGCGGGCGTGAGTTGTATAGGCTTCATGGGGTTTGGACGCTTGATGGCTTGCAAGGGGAAAACAGCCCTGTGGGAGAGCAAACGCGCAACTACATCCTTCCAAAACATAGGCCGTGAAAAACCCGTGATTTCGGCGTGATGTACCCGTGAATCGGCATGATGCCCCGTGAATTTTTTTCCATCGTTTGGAGACAAGGGCACTCATGTGTTTCATGCCTGGCCCAGAAGTTTGTAGAGTTTGGACGCATACAAAGGCTACCTGAAGCTTGAAGCTGCTCGCCAATGGCTTCTGGGGCAGACCAATTCGTTGATCTGCTGATGGCACTCAGGGAGGAAAACCATGGCCGTAAGCCTTCGGCCAACCAACTTGCCAAAGCCTTGGGTATCTCTGCGCACGACGCCAAAGAGATTTTGGATGACATGGACCCCGCCCCGCAGAACAAGAAACTTCGAGTGAGCAAGGAGCCTGATCATCATCCACCTGAACCACCCGCACCTGCTCCATCCTGCCCACCAGACTTGGAGGACACGTTCAGAGACGAGGATGTGGAAGTGGTCGAGGCGGTTGAGCCGCTTTCCCAGTCCACACGCTGGGAGGAAATTCCGGCTGCTCAGCTTGACCCCCCTTTGGAGATGCCGCCTGCTGGGGACTTGAAGGCTCCTGTGGAGAGATTGGGATCTCAAAGGCTTGGGCCTCAGGTGTGTGTGTGTGTGTGTGTAGAGAGTCTGAGAGAGAGAGACAGAGAGAGAGAGAGAGAGAGAGAGAGAGAAACACAGAGAGAGGGAGAGAGGGAGAGAGAGGGAGAGATACCTGTACTGAGGTCGATTGCCACCTTACTTCAGGGACAGCAGTTGTTGAAGGGCGGCTCCAAGGTCCTTGTGCTGAGCGATGAGGAGGAGGCCGGGCCATGTCATGATACATGGTACATGTACATGATACATGTTCATGGCATGTACTTATTCATGGCATGTACTGATAACTTATGCATGGCATGCATGTACTGTGTTTACCAGTTCATGTTCCGTGCAACACATGCCATGTCATGACATGTTACATCTATTTACAAAACATGTCATGCCATGACATTTACACCTATTTACGAAGCATGCCATGTCATGACGTATGACACGTCAGGCCATGGCAAAGGCACCAGCCATGTAAAGTTGCCAGCGCGTGTGAGGCCAAGGGAGATGACGATTCTTGGCCACTGACTTCGAGAATCAGCCCACTCTTGACTACGAACAGGAAGCGGAAGCTCAAGCTGCTGAATTGCTCAATACCACCGAAGCCCATGAGCGCAGGCAAAGCCAGGAAGCTCTGAGGGTGGCCCAGGAAGCGAAGGTCAATGAAGCTTTGGAGCAACACGAGCTGGCCAAAGCTGCTCGTCGTTCAGCCTCGCCTCCACCTGAAGGGCATGCGGGAGCAGGCGCTGACTTGCCAGAAGGTATGGCTTCCGGAACGCATGTCATGGAGATTTCTTCAACTACTCACCGAAAAGAGTGGGCTACGCTGAGCCGCGTTGCCAAGGGTCCGCGAGCCAGCGAATTCCCGGAAGTTGCGCGCCTTTTCCAGGGCACAAAAGCGCAGAAGCTTGAAGTACTTAAGGCTTTTGTGGAGCGAGGTAGCCTGGAAGCGATCGAGGCTAGCCTTCAGGCTACGAGGCAACATGATGACAGCTTACAGGTCAAGCGAAAGTTGATGACGCTTGATGAAATGAATGCCGCTGGCTTCAGTGAGCACTTAGCCTGCATGGCAAAGTTGGTTTGTGTGTGGGCGTGTCATTTTTCCATATTGAATAATATACGCTGCATTTTCTCTAAGGGAGAAGAAGCTGGGATGCATCCGCAGAGGAGCAGTTCCAGACCCTGATGCGCCGAATTGTCAGAAGAGCCAGAGGTTTTGGGTGAATGTGGGAACTGAGCAAACAACGACAGAAAGGCAAACGCTCACCACGAGCATGCAAGCGGGGATCAGAGGGTCAGATGCTATGTCTGCAATGGGCATGATGCTCCCGACTCCGACGCTGTCAGTGGCTGACCCAGTGGCCTTGGCGCGCCAGCAGCAGGCGGCAGTGGCTCAATCCCCAGCCGCTCCGGCATCTCCAGCACCTCCAGTACCCCGTGCCTTGTCTAAAGGGAATTGATGTTCAGGAAGTTGATTCACGGTTTTTCACGCCGATTCATGGTTTTTCATGGCTTTTCATGGCTCACCTGACAGATCCAGGTGCAAAAGTCAAGGCTGGAGCGAAGCCAAAAGCTAAAGCAGCGCCACTTTCTGGTCCAGTTCTGGCTGGGAAAACCATTGCAGAGAAGATCACTTTGGCTCGCCTGGTGCTCAGATTGATGTATACTTTTTTGCGTTGCATTTTTGTCCTGGATCAGGTGCAGAAGTCAAGAAAGAGCTGACTGCACTGAACTCCTTGCTCCTGGATGTGGGGGAGTACGGAGATGGCAGGTTTTCCGAGGGCACCACAGCCTTGAACCGGCACGTCCAAACTTTGAAGGGAGTTTTTTCCAGGCGTGCCTCTTACTTGGTGCGCTATTTATAATGTATCTTTTCTATATATATATATGTCAGGATTCCGTCAGCAGCTGACGAAACCGCTTTTGCAGCCTTGCTTGGTGAAATCACAACAGCAGCTTGGGCCCTAGAACATGTACCCTGGTACCCAGTGTCACACAGAACCATTTGTGCTTGAGGTGGGCGACAGTCGTATGAAGAGGGCAGAAATTGGTGCTGTCCTGAAGGAAGTAAAGAAGCCGTGCTGGCCTGCGTTGAACTTCGAGATGCTATCAAGTTCCTTTGTTTCATGGCAGGGGCTACTCCTGAGTGGCAGCCTTGGCCTGTGAGCTTCGATCGGCTGTTCGCCATGACACATGTGAGAACACGTGTGCATGAGCTAGGGTTTAGTGCAGCTAACATGTCGCTAGCAGCACGATACATGGGTACACGCACAACCCATAGAGGGCCTTGAAAGCCCCAGGGTTGTCAGAACAGCAGCCCCGCACTTTGCAGAAAAATGCATTGTCTTTGACTTTCAGTGTGAACGTTTTGTACATGTTGCCTGTGGGCAGTCTGCCTGGACATGTTTATGCAGGTACAGCTGCGTGGAGGAAAACTTTAGACCAAAGGCTGCTAGGTTTAAAAAACATTTTGCGTTTATGCGCAGTTTGGCTTGCGAGGCTTGCTGCTGAAGTGGGTCGCGGTGGCTCCACTCTAGCAGCCGCTGCCAGGATCGGTGGCGCATATGGTTCAGATGTTTTTGGGCCTTGGGCTCACGCCCGTTCCTTCTATTTTGACAAGCTAGAGAAAATCAACAGTACCAAGGTCGCACACCACGAGGGACCTTCGAGCTCACAAGGCCATGGTCAAATCTGGCAACGCCTACAAGGATTTGTTGACTTGGCACTACATACCAGTGAGTGCTGAAGATGGCGAAAACATGGAACTAGTTGAGTGGCCGTTTCTCCTTCCTGAAGACATGGCCCTGACCTGAGACACGCGTGTGTGTGCGTGTGTGTGTGTAACTGGGTTCCTGGGCAGTTGAGGTCGCGTTACTCATGAAAGAAGGACACAGAGAGCTTCTTGGACACGCCACGCCTGCTTACTGGGAAATGCTGGCCAGGCATTTCAATCTCCAGAGGCCACACGGCGATGACGTTGCGCCACTATCTATATTTGGAGATGAGATCCAGGTATTTGATGGTGACCTTTGTATGTGCATCAATTGGAGTGCAGAGACTTCCACAATCCATGAAGACACCCGCGCTAGCAGGTACCTTATAGCATTGCTCCCGAAAAGATTCTACTATATGGACAGAAAAGTCAATCGCACCCTCCAGGCTGTTATGAAAGTCATCACTGATAGCATGAATAAATTGGAGACGGCTGGATGCACAGTTGGAGGAAAGAACCTTCGAGGTTTGGTAGCCAGTGTGAAGGGGGATTGGAAATTCTTTGGGCAACTGTTGAATGCTCGCGTTGGCCCATCCTCGAATGAGATATGTCATATTTGCAGGTGCACCAAGGATTTGCAACGGCCATACACTGATATCACAGAAGGAGCACTATGGAGGTCGGACCCACGGCCAGAGGATGAAGTGTGGTATGAGAAACCTACTGTCACCAATCTGAACCAATGGAAGATATCGCTTCTAGCTCCTGATATCATGCACACATTTCATTTAGGCACAGGCCGGGACATTGCCGCGAGTGTGTTGACCATTCTTTTGCGAAGCCGGGTCTTTTCCGGCAGCAACGTTGCTGCGCGGATGGTGACGGCGTCGCGCTTGATCCGAGAATGGTCGAAGAAGGATTCTACAAGGAATGTACTTCCCAGCACTTGGAGCCTGAAAAAGTCAAACCTTGGCTTGAAAACCGGCTCGTATGTGCACTACCATGGAAAAGCGTGGCACATAGCCACAATTTTAGGTTTCCTCGTTGATTTCCTGGAGGAGCAAGATGTCGACTCAGACTTGAAGATGATATGCTGGACAGGTGACTATATCATGAGCATGCTGCACCAGGAACGAAAAGATTCAGGCCTACTCCTTTCGGAGGAGAGCAAGGAAGCTCTGAGGGTTGTTGGGGGTTACCACAACAAATTGCTATTGTCCTTGCACATTCGCTACAAAGGCTTCTGTTGCTACCTCTTGTTCAACGTGAGGCCGAAGTTTCATATGCAGGTTCACATGCTAGAGACTGCTGCCCAGACAGGGCGGAACCCCGTGGTTCAAGCCAATTGGATGGAAGAAGACTTTGTGCGAACAGTTGCCAACTTGGCGAAGAAGACACACAAACGAACCAGCCATCTGACGACGCTGCTGCGCTACACAGCAGGACATTGACTTGTTGTGTGTTGTGTGTGCGTGTTTTGTTAATGCTGTTGCGTTGCGCAGGATTGAAGTTTTCAATTGCGCAAGCAGTCCAGAAGTTGGTGGCTGCCGCATGATTGACATGCCATGCATGTATATATTTTAAAACATGTACCGCATGCATGTCAGCATGGTAGGCATGTTCACATGGTAGGATTGACATGCATGGTACGTCTGACAAGCACGGTAGGAATCAAACATGGTAGACATGGTAGGCATGATGCACTTGATAAGCATGTTCACATGGTAGGATCATGATTGATTGAGAGTTTTGACTGCCAGGTGAAGAAGGTGAAGATGAGGGATGGCGCTGGCGTTGATCGTTCACTGTGAGGGGAAAAGGTGTGCTTTGGCGCTGGTGGTGCTTTTTGGGAGCAAATGAGTTGAGACAGCTTGCGCTGATTGAGATGGTTGTGGGGGTGATGGTGCTGGTAGGGGGGATTGAGCTGGTTTGGGTTCATCGTGGGAATGATTCCTAGGATATGCTCCTCTGGGTAGGGTATACCTCACCGTTAGCTCAACTCTTCGTCAACAAAGCCAAACGTGACACGCACCACTTTCAAAAAACAAAACAACAAGCTCCACACAAAACACAGACTTACACGCGCCAGCTGGCCATGCATTGTGTTTGACCCACGTTGGTCACGACTTCCGTAGAGAGGAGGTAAGCCTTGAAAAGTGTGCTTGGCAATGCTTGGCACAAGCAAGCTGTGATGTCTAAACGGCGTTAGTGGACAATGTTCGAGCATGTTGACGGTTTGGGTGATAAGCCAATGTTATGTTTATAGATTGATATTTTTTGTGTTTCATTTTTTATAGATCGATAAATTTGTTGTGCTTTGTTCATGTTGTTTAATAGATTGATAAACTGTTGGCGTTTTATCTATGTTTTATATATTGATAAACTTTTTGCGTTTTGTTCATACTTCTTTATAGATTGATAAATTTGTTGTGTTTTGTATATTGTTTTTCAATACACAAATAAAGTTTGTTGTTTCCTCAAAATGTGTTTTCATAGATCGAACCCTTGCATCTAGTGCCACTTGAGAAGAAACAAGCCAACAAAAGGGTAGTTGGCAAGACCATGTAGTAGCATGGTCACTGGGCAGACTGTGCAGGTAGCCCAGGCTAGTGCACACCTCTTCACGTTCTTGGATATGAGCTTTGCGAAAGGTTGCACAACGGTGCACCAATGACGCAGTGAATGAAAAAGTTGGTTCGCAAGCGGAACACCCCAACGAAGCGAAGCAAAGTTTGAAGAGTTCATGAAGATTGCATGTTTTGTAGCTAAGATGGAACATCCCTAATGAAGCGAAGCGAAGCTTGAAGAGTTCATGAAGACTGCATGCCGTGTAGCTAAACTGCTTTGCAGCCAAGATGGATCATCCCAATGAAGCGAAGCGAAGCTTGAAGAGTTCATGAAGATTGCATGTTTTGTAGCTAAGATGCTTTGTAGCTAAGATGGAGCATCCCAACGAAGCGAAGCAGTTCTTGAAGAGTTCATGAAGGCTAAGATGGAAACAGTTCAGTCTAGCAATTTTCCTTTTGGGTTGGACAGGGGCCCTGCCATCAGTCTATCACAACATGTTTGAAACACGTTCTCAGTCCTTGATACTTGCTGCTCTTCAGCGGTGTCACATTCATCATTGACAAACGCATGCAGGGAGTGCATCTCGCACGCAGAGCCCTTTTGCCCAAGCATGTTTGTTGAGACTTGATTGCTTGTGCCTCATGCCGATCGCGCACGAGAGGGTTGATGTTCCGCAGACTTGGAAGATGGGCGATGGACTTCCACGTGCCAGCAAATGGCACGCAGTGTGGGAGGGCCAGAACAGGAAGGTGGAAGAGCGGTCTCCGATTTGGTTCTACTGCTCCTCCGTCTCCAGTGAAAGCTCCTACAAGTTTGCCTTTGTGGAAGCAAATGAACGCATCATGGGAAGACCAAATGGATGGACAAGCTGATTCGTCCCATTCAGGGGGATTTGATTGTCAAGCTGCGCCTGATCCCTTCGGACGACGGGCTCAGGCAGCTGGTTTGCTTCGACGCCCCCTTCAGTGGAGACAGAATGTACCGAGCCATTTGCTACTTCACCGCAGACCGGATCACTGTTGGCAGCATGCTGGATGACTTTCGCGCGCACGCCGCGCGGATGGGACTCTGCACTTGGAACCAAAAGATTACGGCGATTGATGTCGGCAAGAGACAGCTTCTATGGCGACCTAGTGGTGCGCTGCCTCACGTACCACAATGGCTGGAGGACATCCAACCTTTGTCTTCAGATTCCTCGGGCGTTGACATGCTCACAGATAGTGAGGACAGCGGCTCAGAGTCAACAACGTTGATCTTGGGGCAGCAGTAGCATTCCAGTAGCACTTGAGCTTAGGAAAGACATCCTTTTGTTCCGTCCCCCAACAGCACTGGACGGAGACAATAGATTTTGACTTGCAGTGCCTTGCAAAACTCAGTTCAATCATGCCGAGCGCGCGCGCCATAAATTGAGGCTTGTTCTAGGCAACGTAGCTTGATGGCTGTTTAATCTCTAGCGTTTTAGTGCGCAAAGAACTGCTTGGCGTTTGACAGTCTTGGGCTTGTGAAACGTTGGATTTTTCAGTCTTGCTTGCTGGGTGTAATTGGGCTGACGTTGTAGTTGAGCTTCTTGCTGAGAAGAGCACCATTTGCCTTCACATGTCTCCTTGTTTGCTTGGGTTGAGTGCTTCTGACTTGAAGACAGCCCTGTCCAGATCGGTGGCCTGACATGGAACAAATCGTTTCGCAGGTGGCAGCAATGACCAAAATGCTTGGGACCCTGCCAGATGAAGAGGGGAAGAATTCCATTGCTCTTCCATCAAGACCCAATTGCAAAGCTTGACAGTGTCAGCCGGTGACGTCGAACAATTCTCGGCAGCTATGGTCGAGTCTGGTTGCTCGGAGTACATGCGATATAGTTCTTTTTTCTTATGGTTTTGTGTTTGCTACGAACTGAGGGTGATTCGTTCAAACCTCTTGAATATCACAAACTTGACTCTGTGAGTACCTCATGACTTCTCGAGCACAACTTTCAGTTCAAAGCCAGGTGTTGGCCTGAAATTCTATGAATGATTGAAGTGATAGGGGTGGCCTGAAGAACCTCCTAAATACTAGTCTGCACCTATCAACTGCCAACGATGTTCGACTCGTGGGCCATGTCTACTGTTTTTGATGCCGCTGATGCGCGTCCATCCCTTCCACTGACAGCGTTGAAAAAAACGCGCGGGAAGCTTACGAGTATTTTTCTCGTAGGCTTCCCGTCCCGTCTTTTCCATGCGTGTTTCAGGCCACACATCCCATGGTTGAACTGTTTTACAAATAGCCGCGTTGTCACTGTTGTTCAACCCTGCCTGTTGCCAAGTGAGGTTTCAATGCTACGCAGATTGGTGAATTGGTTGAAATGGCATCAGACAGGTTGGCATCTTTCAGCATCTCGCCGCCAATGGCGCGGAAGAGCTTGCAGAAGTTGCTGGACATCTGCCCTTTCCTGCTGGCTGGCGAGATGGTGATTTTGAAGTCAAAGGAATATTTGCACCAGAAGCTGTTGCTGGTGGCTCGCAGGGCGGCGCTGATCGGATGCACGAACCCCTCAGAGCATACCGCTGGGAGCCTGGTGAAGACTATTGAGATCCTGGGTGGACAGCCCTTTGCAAGCGCAAAGGCGTACGTGGATGCTGTCAGCGAGCTCAAGGGCTACATCAAGTGTGAAAGAGTGACGCTTCCAGACTACGAGTGGCAGCGCCCTCCTCGCGGGCGTCCGGCGGGCAACTACGCTGGGCCGCAGAGTACACCTCGGCTGCACTTAACGTGAAGACCAAGAGTCGGCCGTATGGAGTCCGTTTTCAATCTGGCGGAACACTACCTGGTTTTCTACGTCGGTCACAACATACACAGGCACATACGCACTCGACGCATGTGAATATCTCTTTTGAATGTTTTCGTTGCAGTTCAACCCCAGAGTGCGCGTACACCCCCTTGCGTAGGCTAATCCCCCCTGCCCCCCGAGTGGGGTGGGTGTCTCCGTTGGTATTTCGGTCGCTTTTGTCCTTCACCAGTCTTTTCTCCCAGTCTCTCACGGAGCGGAATTGTCACTCCCGTTATCGTCTTTCGGCCCAAACTTCCCGGGGCGGTTGGGCGCGTACGCCTCTGGCGTGTCGTGCTCTCCCTGGGGGCTATGGGGCTGTTGGACGGGATGCTACCCGTCTGGTCCGCGGTTAGCTACCTGGTCTGTCCTACGCGGTCTCTTTTCGGCGGTCTGACCCCACGGTGCCTGTGCACCAGCAACAGAGTGGTCTGGACACGGTCCAGATCTCCCGGACCTTGGTTTCTTTCCATCTTTGGTCTGCCCCGCACTTGTTGACTGTATCACGGTCGTTGATCCTACGCCTCTCTCCAGCCATTTGGTCTGTCCATGCCTCGATATCGTAGCCTGCGCCTACGACGTGCGTCTCTGGAATTTAGACTCCAAACCATGCTCCGGGTAGCTAAGGCGCGCACAAACAGACATGCACGACACCTCAAACGGAAACTCCGTGCGGTCCGACAGCAGTTGCAACTTCGTCGCCAACGGCGCGCACGTCATATTCATATACAGTCCCAGCGGAAGTTTAGTCTCTTCCAAAAACGTGCCCGTCGCTTTAAGTTAGCAACATGGAATACTCGAGGTTTAGGCGCCCCCCCACGGCCTCATTAACCAAGAACTCAAGATTCGCTGTTTCATCTCCCACATGATCACTCACACCTGGTCCTGTCTGGTCCTTACAGATCTGAAGTTTCGGGATAATGGTGTCCGTCGTTACCGGCAGGACGGTCAATCCTGGTATTTGGTCATACAAGATAAAATTGGGTTCCTGCTCGACGTATGGTGTTATGACTGGTGGGTTTTGGGTGGAAGTGTTTTACATTCCCAGGCCCCACGAGTGGCGGCCATCTCTCTCCCACGCAGGGGGTGGCGTAGAGGCCTGTTTGTCATGGGAGTATATGCACCCACCAGTGAGGCAGGAGCAGGAGCACGACGAACACTACGACAACAGCTGACGGTCATGCAGGGGATGGCTCCTGCCACCAGCTTGCAGATCATAGCAGGGGACTTCAATGCAGAATTTGGCAATAACGCCGATCATACCATCCCGGGTTACGAAGTCATGGGACCCTTCTCCCGCCCAAAGACTAACCCCGCCGGTCGTGAATGGCGACAGTGGTTGGCACGACATGCCCTTAGAGATGCAGTCAGTAGGTACCCTGGACGTACTCGATGTACTTGGCTACACCCTCGCTTTCTCTCCTCTCATGAACTTGACCACTGTTTCATCCGGGGAAGGGATCTTTGGCACTTGCAAGGGGGTCGAATCCTTCAGGAGGGTCCTAGTGTTTTTCACCCATGGTCCCCCTACACAGATCACAATCCGGTTGAAATCAATCTACGGTTTGGGAAAAAATGGGTCGCTCCGAGTTCCAGTCGCTCCCAGGCGACTCCCCCCGACATTGCCCAAATGCGGGGTCCCACCCCCGACGCGGAACGCAAACGCCAGCTTTGGATTTCAAAGGTCGAAGAGCGCTTGAGGGTTCTGCAGCCGGTCACACCTCAGTCAGATCTCACGGAGGCCTGGAGCCAGTTATGTCAAATTTGTCGAGAAGTGGCGGTTGAAGTGTGTGGAGTGTTGAACCTGGTCAAAGGGGCTCCGTGGCTAGCTTCCCGAGGCCCTGAAGTGGCCGCACTGGATCAGGCAATTCACCAGGCCAAACAGGGAGACAACCAGGCTCGCCGCCAGGGCGACCCCCATCAAAAGGACCACGCCAGAAGACTCTTACAGAGAGCGCGAAAACACAAGGCAGAGACGTTGAGAAAGTGGGAAAGTGACTGGCTCAGCGCCCGCGCTGACGCAGCCAACCAGGCCATGTCCACCCCCCACACGGCGGACATTTTCCGCATAGTTAAGCAACTGTGTCAGACGGTGGCCGGTCAGCGTCCGGATTCAGGCAGCCGTCAGGCGCGCAATTCGGATGAAGTGGAAGCATGGAAGGAACATTTTGAGGCAATCCAGGCAGGTAGTGGCACGATTAACCCCTCGGTTTGGCAGGACATCTCCACGCAAGTAGAAGATTCCACCCTGGGCCTTCCCCCCACTTGGGAAGAGTACCAACGGGTGGTCCGTGATATGAGGTTAGGCAAAGCCGGGGGCTCGGACTCTATGACGGCCGAATACATCAAATTTGCGGGCCCTTCCATGGAACGTATGGTTTTTGACATAGTTCTTAGCTGTTGGAATCAGGCCAGTGCGGCGGACGATCCGTCGCAAGCCGCCCACTGGCCCCAGGCCTGGAAGACAGGTATGATCATCCCCCTATGGAAACGCAAAGGAGATCGAAACAACAAAAATACTTGGAGGGGCATTACCCTATTATCGGTGGGGTCTAAGATTGTAGCCAGAATTTGCGCCCTCCGCCTCGCCCGCTGGTCCTCCCCTTGGCTCAACCCCCTTCAATTCGGGTTTCGTCCTGGGTCGGGGGTCGACGACATCCACCAACTTAGTCGCCGCCTCCTCGAAGAAGCCGCGCAATCGGTACACACCCACACGTATTTGTTCCGTTTCTACGATTTGGAAAAGGCATACCCCGAAGTGGTTCGACATGGTCTCTGGCACTTGCTGTCACTTAAGGGCTGCCCCCCTCCACTGATAAATGTGTTAAAGGCCATACATGAGTTTACTGCCAGTCAAGTCCGTTTTCAAGGATTTGTATCCACACCCTTTTTGCCGGGCCGTGGTTTGCGCGAAGGGTGCCCCTCGTCTCCCATTTTGTTCAAAATCTATCATTCCGGGATTATGGAGGTCTTTCGCAATCGCCGGACACGTCGGGCCGTGGCACTGCACCATGAAGTCGGTATCCCGTGGGAATATAAGATCGATGGACGAGTTGCAAAGCGGAAATCAGACCGTGTTGAGGAAGGCCGTAATCTGAAACGCACTAGATTTGGGGACATGGCCTACGCAGATGACACGGCCATCATGGGCCGAGAACCTGAAGTTTTGCAAGCGGAACCGATCCTAATTACCACTATTCAGGACTTCGGTGGCAAAGTCAATGCAGCCAAAACGGAAGGTCTACGGGTCTCTACCACCCCTCCCCCCAACTTGAACCCCGCCTTGGGAGAACTCCACTCAGTCAGACATGTTGGAGCTCTGCTTTCGGATAGGGCTCATCATGCTCCGGACACCACTAGGGCGGTAGGTATAAGGGACTCCAACGTATGACCGCAATTTCCAAAGCGTGGCTGGGGGGGCCCCCATCGGCGCCATCGCCGCAATACACTCCAGAAATCGGTTCGGGTTAAGGTCCTAAAAGCAGTGGTCAAAGGGGTGCTATTTTCTTTTTGTCGCGATCGCGACATTTGGAAAAAGACTGTCCTTACGGCCTTTCCCCCTGAGTCAGTTGATCCCCACAAGGAAAGGGATTTCAATGCTTGGCAAGTCGGAGACCCGCTCCCACACTGGGCCCGCCCAGCCCTGAATGATCCACCAGAGCGCGAATACGCTCATAGTGAAGAGGAATTAGGAGACCAAACCAGAGGAGACGCTTTAGAACCAAGCCCGTGCTCCAAGAGCACCTCAGGTGCGTCGTCGACCAGCGGCCACTCTAGATGACAGACGGCAAGGGCGCTGGGAGCTCATTCCTTGTCCGGTGTGTAGAAAAGATTTCCGCAGCTGTGACTTGCCACAACATCAGCCATTGTGTCGGGGTCCAGGCGACGCCAACCAGCGGTGTCTGTACTGTAACAAACTCTTTGAGTCAGTCCAAAGCCGTAAGAATCACGAACGCTACACACATCCTCATGAAGCGTTACGGGATGGACTAATCACTTCCATTGCCAAAAGAGCACGAGGCTGATCAGCACTCCCACTTTGCACTTTTTCCTGTGCGCTTTGACGCAGTGTTCAGCTCAACTCCGCTCGCGGTGGGCGACTTCTCCTCTCCGGAGGCATCCTGTGAGTCCCGCCTCGCCTTGCTACACTGCATGGCCAATGTTGCTGAACGCAAACGTAAATTGGAGGACTTGGAAAAGAAAGTGGATGACCAGGCTGCTCTTTTGGACAAGACAGTGGGTAGAGTGGATCGGCTTGAAGAACGTTGTGAACTCGCGGAAGCGTACCGGTTCCTGCGGGTCGAACACTCTTCATCTCTTACAGAGCTGTGGGCAGGGCAAGAGTCTGGCGCAATCCCTCGTCATGAGCTTCGCAGTCGTGTCGCTACTGGTTTGGTCAATGAGATCCGCCAAGTGTTCGCTCATGAAGTGGACGAGACGACAGCCAAACAAAAGTCAGATACCTTGTCCAACAATAAGCGTACCTGGCCGGCCCGTACGGTGCGCGATGAGACAGCCCAGGGTTTCAAGTTGGACGGTTTGGTGGAATGGGTCAGCAAGGCTGGTACTGGCTGGACCTTACGTCTGGTCCCAGGTGAATCCAGTCGCGCACTTCATGCGTGTGTCAAAGAGCACCTCAACTGGAGCCTGTACGGCCACCCTCCAACTCTATCCGGACCGCGGCCCCCGGCAAAGGTACCGAAAGGGACAGGGCAAAGGCAATGACGGCAAGGGTCGCGGGAAAGGACAACCCAAAGGTCGCGGCAAAGGCAAAGGCAGGGCGGCGCCTGCGGCCGCTCGCTGAGGCCACCGGGCTGGGAACGAGTTTTGTGTCATTCACCCCAGATGGGCCCCTTTTGATTCAACTCCGGATCACTCCCCTCCCCTCTTTCCTGTTTCTTCTGGTGCTTGGTCGGAGATCCGCTACGGCTCTGATCTCCAAGGTGGAGCACATTTGCCTGCGCGGCAGCTCCAAGGTATGGCACCCCCCCTCTCCACCCCCCGACTGATTGGAGGCCAACCGGACCGCTTTTATCGCTTCACTCCGGGTGTCCCTTCTTCTGCGGACCCCCGCAGCTCATGGACACGACTTACGGTAGGGCATGGACTTTCTTCTTCCCCCAACTTCTCTCCTTCCAGGCTGCCACGAGGCACTCGTAGGATCGACTGGACCCGGTCGTGTTGTCGGGTTGGACTCTTTACTTGGGTTGCTGTTGGGAGCCTTCGTCTGGTCTTCCGGCATTCGGGGCACAGGTCGACGCGCCCTTGGACATGTATAAGTTCCGGTGTCTTGGCTTAACAGTGGTGGCTACCTCCGTCGCACTCATCATCATCTTCCAGCAGCCACAGTGCATTTGACAGAGTTTCCTGCTAATGCGTCTGGCCTGCCGAAAGAGCTCCATACTCGCGCATATGGCCCTGATGAAGAACCATGTGGAGAAGGAGGCCCAATGACTCTGGGCGCTTCTGGACCGGTGAGAAAGAGTTCTAAGTTGGTGCGAGGCGCAAGTTCTTCGTCCATGGGGTCTGGCAGCTGCGCTGATTTGCGTTTATTTTCCATGGTTTTTGATCAAACTTGTAAACGTTTAACACTTGATCGAAAACATTGGCAAGCAAGGCATGCAGCTTAATCTTGGCAACACTTTCTCGTCTTCCTCCTGGAGCATGGGCGGCGTGAACCCTACAATGGCTGCCAACTTGATGCAGCAGTTCCATACCATGTCGCAAATGTTTCAATTGTTTGGCGGTGGCGGGATGCATGGCCACCCTCAACAATCTCAGCCTGCAAGACCTCAGCGAGCAAAAACACTTCTGGCTTTGGGAAATGCAGCCCGTGGAGGACAAGAAGCCTGAAACTGCGGAAGAGAGCACTGCTCATGCTCCAGATGAGAAAGAAGTGAATCAGAAACATCCACTCAAGCCTGAACAGCAAGCCGAGCTGATGCTCAATGCATGGAATTCGCGCGCAAAAGCGCGGCAGAGCCAAGCTCAGGAGGACGCAGTGGAAGAACGCGAAGACACAACGGTCTTGAAGAAGCCTGGAATGAAAAGACCTGGGAGTGCAGATGACCTGCGTCAGCAGGTGGACAGAACAATCCTTGAGTGTTTTCGACATGACAGAATCTGTCATCTTCGTGCCCACTAGGTGTATCAAAGAAGTGCGCCCGTTTTCTGTGAAGGATGGACGGGCACTTGTGTGCAGGTGAGGAAAACATGAATTAGATCACGCGCAGTTTTTACCGCGCGCAGATGCAAGAGAGCATTCTTATGGTGCTTTGTTTTTTCTTGTTGCTTGTTTCGCCAAGGTTTTGTTGGAGGTTGACAGCCTGTTTGCGATCGAAGGTTTTCTTGCTTGTGTGTTCCTAGGGTTTACAACTTGTTTGCGGCCCTCCTTTTCAGATTCGCTTGCTTTGCTTTTTCGGTACGGTTGTTCCTTGACTTTCGACCAGCGTGCGCCCGTGCCAACATTGAACACCGCAAGCATGCCAACACTGACATGAACATGCGCATGCTGGCGCGTGCGCGCACACATGCCAACACGCACTCCCTGCTTGCGAGCGCAGCCCTGCAAGCGTGCCAACGTTGAGTGTAGATAAGAGGACATTTCTTTCTATAGGCAGTCCGCGGTTAAGAATTGCGCTTGCAATGTGGCGTGTGATCACCAAAGGAGTTGTCAAGAGCTTTCCTGAATGGCTATCTTTGCTCCAGCAATGTGGCAACGCACACATTAATGTTGCCAACTCCCAAGGGTATGATTGCTATCTATCTTGCGAGCGCAGCCCTGCAAGTGTGCCAACACAAATTCTGAACAGTATGCGTTCAAGCAACTATATCTACAACCCCAAGAAAGACCATTGATGTTCAACAAGCCATTCCTGCTTGCGAGCGCCGCCCTGCAAACGTGCAAACACAAATTCTGAGCAGCGTACGCACTCAAGAAACTATTTCTACAACCCCCAAAAAAAGACCGTTGCTGTTCAACAAACCTTTCTCGCTTGCGAGCGGAGCCCTGCAAGCGTGCCACTGACATTCGCCATATATAAAAAAAACAATCCTGGGAGCGCAACCCTGCAATTGCTGTTCAACAACTCAGCAGTACCTGTTTGCACTTAGGGGGCGCAGCCCTATACATGCTGAGAGGGGCAAGACCAACCGACATGTTTTCATGGTATACCCTTGTTCTAAGCGCTTTAAGTGTACTTGCTATCTAGGCTATGTGTACTTACTGTGTACTTCAGTAAGTACCCTAAAGATCAGCTGAGGTTAAAAATAACCTCTGAGGTTATTCCAAAAAAAACCTCAACCATTGAATAACCTCAAGTTCTTGAGGTTATTTTTTGAGGTTATTCTTAAAAATAACCTTGAGGTTATTTCAAAGAATCACCTCAAAACCTTGAGGTTATTTCTAAGAATAACATCAAAAAACATTGGAAATCTTTCTGAAATCTTGGAGGTTTCCAGTATGATTAACATCAAATAGTTTGTCAAATAGCTAACATATATATCCAACCAGCCATGAATATTTCAGCAAAAGTTCCAAATCTTTACCAATAACTACAATATTTCAGCCAAAAACCCAAATGCTTACACATAACTGCAAAGGACAAGCCTGGGTTCCATGTATTGCAACTTTCTTGTTTTCTATGTGTGGAAACCAGAAGGAAAAGGAACAATCCCCAAAAAAGGAAACAGAAAAGGACGAGGAAAAGGAACAGGAAAAGGACCAGGAACAGGAAAATGAAGAGGAAAAGGAAAAGGAAAAAAAAAACAAGGAAAATGAAAAGGAAAAACGAAGAGGAAGATGAAAAAAACAAGGAAAAGGAAAAAAGGAAGAGGAAAAGGAACCAGAAAAGGAAGAGAGAGAGGAAAAGGAAAGGGAACATGTTTTTTGGGGGAGAAGGAAAGTGCGGAAACAAAATCTAAAGACTAAAACTGTGGGCAATTTTTTTGGTGAGGAGAGTTCAGGAAGCAAAATCTATTGAATAAAACAGTGGGAAACATTTTGGTGAGGAGAGTTCAGAAAGCAAAATCTAATGACTAAAACTGTGGACAAAAGTTTTGGTGAGGAGAGTTCAGGAAGCAAAATCTAATGACTAAAACTGTGGACAAAAGTTTTCGTGAGGAGAGTTCAGGAAGCAAAATCTAATGACTAAAACTGTGGGCAAAAGTTTTCGTGAGGAGAGTTCAGGAAGCAAAATCTAATGACTAAAACTGTGGGCAAAAGTTTTGGTGAGGAGAGTTCAGGAAGCAAAATCTAATGACTAAAACTGTGGACAAAAGTTTTCGTGAGGAGAGTTCAGGAAACACAACCTAATGACTAAAACTGTGGACAATCTTTTTGGGGTGAATAAACGTAAGAAAACAATATCTAATGAATGAAACTGTGGGCAAAAGTTTTTGGTGAGGAGATTTCACGGAGCAAAACCTAATGACTAAAACTGAGGAAAACATTTTTTGGTGAGGAGAGTTGAGGAAGCAAAATCTAATGACTAAAACTGTGGCCAAAACTTTTTGGGGTGAATGAAAGTAAGGAAGCAAAATCTCATGAGTAAAGCTGTGGGCAAAGATTTTTGGTGAGGAGAGCTCAGGAAACAACATCTAATTACTAAGACTGTGGACCAAATTTTATTGCCCACAGCTTTAGTCATTAGATTTTCTTCCTTAATTTGCCTCACCCCACAAAGATTGCCTTCAGTTTTAGTCATTAGATTTTGTTTCCTTTCTCTCACCCAAAAATTTTGTCCACAGCTTTAGTCATTAGATTTTGTTTCCTGAACTCTCCTCACCAAAAATTTTAGCCCACAGTTTTATTCAATGGATTTTGTTTCCTTACTTTCATTCACCCCAACATTTTGGGCCACAGTGTTAGTCATTTGCGGTAGCCAAATAGGGCTTTAGGGGTGCCCTCAACCAAGCGAAGACCACGAAGTCGAAGGCGAAGCGAAAGCCACACCAAGTGGCCGAAGCGAACACGAGCGTAGCCGCACAGAGCAGCTTTTCTCACAGGTTCGAGCCGGAGGCTCAAGGCCTGAAAGGCCAGGTGCAAAGGTTCATGCGAGCATGAAAGCCAAACATGGGAAAACCGCTATCGCATCAGCTCAAAGTTTTCTTTGGCTTTGCGAGCTTAGAGCGCTTCTCCCTCAGTGTCCTCGAGAGCGTCCATCATCATGCCCTCGAAGTTGTCGGGGATGTAGCCAGGGCACAAGCATTGAAGCTCTCTCATTTGGGCCACTGCGCTTTTGCCTTGCTGTCTTGCCCTCTTCTCGCTCTGGATGAACTGCGGGTCGTATCTGAGCCGCCAAATGCAGCTTTTCAGAAACTGGTTGAGTCCTTCACGAGCTGCCTTGGGCTTCTTTGTGAGGGCGTCGCTCAGGTTCCAATCTCCGGAAATCCATATGAGTCGGCAAAGAGATTCTTGAAGTTGTTCACGAAGTTGGTATGCCTGTAAGGCGCTTCGGGCGTTGCTTAGCCCTAACATTGGCCCCTCGCTGCGGGTCACAGCGTCGAAGCCACCTTTACTGTCAGTGGCCACAATGCCATTGAGGAACTTCATCATGAAGTTTGCTCGTGCCAGTTGATCTCCTGGAGGTAGTGCGCAGCATCCGTTTAACTGGCACCAAAGCAACCTTGACCGGTAGTTATGGTCTTCTCCCTCCAGGATACACTGGATTTCGCCATCATTTGTCGAGATGGCTTTGCGGCGTAGGCGCCAGGTGCGCCATGCCACCACATTGAGCTTTCCAGGCTCGCCTCTGTTTTGGGCTTTGCCTCCCAAACAGGTGATGAGGCCGCCGGTGCTATCGCCTTTGGGGCGATTTGCATGGGCTTGGTCTGCCAGCGTCACCACGGTGGTGTCTTGCCAGTGCTCCACATCGTCCAGCCTCCACATTCTCAATGTTGTAGGCTCCCTGCGTACCTCGATGATGAGGTCTCGAATTTCCTTTGCAACCTGCAGGGTCTTGAGGACGGTGAGCTC